ACCAACCCGTAAAAACCTTCAGAAATGGTGACTCTCCTCGTCCTCTGAGTGCTTGTTTTGCCTTAAACCTGAATCTCTGTTACACGTTGTTGCTGGCTGTAGTTCCTATCTTGATCGATTTACTTGGAGACACGACTCAATCCTAAATTTTATAACTAATAACCTCCCATCAGAACATATTCAGACCATTTATGCTGACTTACCGTCATTCCCTAATCCCTCTATTATTACTGGTGATGACCATCGTCCTGATCTACTAATTTTGACGAAAGACAATTGTCTGTATGTATTCGAACTAACCGTTGGATATGAGACTAACCTGAGGAATAATATACAGCGCAAATATTCAAAATATAAAGAGATGATCGTAGAACAAAAAAAGAAATTCCGGCCGGTAAAGTTCATTAATTTAACCTCTCAATCAGTGCACTCGGTGTTTTTGAATAAGAATCTTCACATTTCATGCAAATGTTGGAACATTTGAACTCAGATAAGGCCGGCGTTAAATATATCATTAGGAAAATCATTAACATTGCAATAAGAGCGACATATTACGTTTTCTGTTCTAGAAACAAGGATTGGTCGAATCCAGATTTAATGAACTTCTAGTTGGTCTCTTACTTTTTGTATCATATAATTATGTCCATGTGTTATGTAAATGTAGTAATATATAGCGTATCAAGTAGCCAATTGTAAATTACCTTTAACAGTGAGATTTCATTATTATTATTATTATTATTATTATTATTATTAATACGTATTATTATATTACCTATTTATTTACAATCATTCAAATAATTATATATATATATATATATATATATATATATATATATATATATATATATATATATATATATATATATATATATATATATATATATATAGATATATATATATAGATATATAGATAGATACTTTATTACCGATTTGTCATATCTTGCTTAGTTGTCGAAATGTTTAGACCGGAATTAATGAGCTGTCGTCCGCCATCTTGGACTTATTCTTGACCTCATTAACTATGGTTTTGATGACGTCAGGAGTTGGGTTAACCATATAAAACTACTCTAAAATGACCGAGTAACAATCCAAAATTGTTTGAAATGTTTTTAATCACTTCTAAATTTCAGACAGCAACCAGAAACGAAGTTTTGGACCCATATTGATCGCTTACTCTCAAGATAAAAAATTAGCGTGACCCCTCTCTTGACGTAACATGCATATCCTCAATAATCCAAGATGGCGAACAGCTTACTTTTTTCAGTCGAAATATTTTGAAAACTAAGCAGGATATAAACAATCCGTAATAGAGTAGTTTAATATATAGTTTTAAGAGTTCTTTCAAATGAACTAAACTAATTTTTTATTGCCAATGTCCTTTA